TCTCTCTCTCTCTCTCTCTCTCTCTCTCTCTCTCTCTCTCTCACACACACACACACACACACACACACACACACACACACACAAACCACCATCACAACTGATGAAGTTTCTTGGATGAGAAGTGAAACATTTTGTTCTTCTTCTTCCTCAAAGAAAAAACAATCCAGTTGCCTTTTGGAAAAAGCACCTTTGAGACATAAAAGAGCTGTCACGGGGCAAAGAACTTCCTGCTACAGGTGCAGTCTATCTGCAGCCGCAAATGCCTGCAAGCAGCAGCTTCAGGGTACTGGGTACTGAAAGGCACACTAAATTTGATGAACAGGTACACGCGTCCCAGACTGTACCGGCAGAAACCCACCCCTGTAGTGTGGGCTACAAAGCTCTTCCAAAGAGAGGAGAGAGCAACCAATGATCCTTTGGGCAATGATGTTAACCCTCTGGAGTGCTGTCCTATCTGCCACTGTGCAATTGGCAAACCAAACAGGTGTATACAATTGTTTCTATCAATTTAGGAGTTATACCTCTTGATTGACTTCAGGTACATCTTGACTTACAACTGTTACTTAGCGACTGTTTGAAATTTCAGTGGCTCTGAAAAAAGTGACTTACAACAGGTTCTTGAACTTATGACTGCTGCGCTATCCCTGTGATCCTGTGATCACAATTTGGAAGTTTGGCAACCAGCATGTGTTTACAATGGTTGCAGCATCCTGTGCTCACATGATCACCACCATTTTCAGACTTCCTAGGGGGCGACTGACAAGCAAAATCAATGGGGGAAGCCAGATGTCCTTCATATTATGGCAAAAAGATCATAAAACCAGGTGTGGATTCCATAACAATGCCCTGCTTATTGACGGAGGTTCCAGTCCCAATTGTGGTTGTAAGTTGAGGATTACCTGTGTCCAACAAAACATACCAGGACAAAAAAAATATGTTTTATTTTAACTTTCAACTTAAAAGTTATGTTAAAAAAATGACTTTTTTATTTAAATATAGTAATGTTTACTCCAATGTGTTAATTTGTACCCCTAGTTAGGCCCCAACCAACCTCCTGTATAAAACAGTCCTTTGCCATTCTTTACCACAGCACTGTCTAGAACAAGAAACTGTGGAGTAGAAATAATGATAGACGCCCCATCACATCCTATTTGGATAGAAGAAACAGTCAGAATCTGGGCATTATGGGAAGCCCTGGCTGCATTTAAACCATTAAGGTGCACAGTTCTCTATTCAAGTATTCAAGGCCCAGATTTTGCCCATGAAAGAGAAATAATATGGCTGAAATTACCCTTTCTATGTTCTCCAAACCTGGATCTGTGAAGGCTTTGTACCAATAATGACAGTTTAAATGCTCTGCTTCACATTTCCAAGCAGCTACGAGAAAGGTTAAGTAAATAGATTTATTGCAAAGAATAAGGAATCCCCCATTCATGCAGTCATTTTATAACTCCTACTTCCAAAACTCAAGGTGGTTTATCGAACACAAGTCACTGCCATTGGTAAAATTCTCCTGTTCCACTTACTCTGGCTCTAAATCAGTGGTGAAATTCATTTTTATTTTTTTTTACTACTGGTTCTGTGGGCGTAACTTGATGAGCATGGCAGGGGCAGGATACTGCAAAATCCCCATTCCCTCCCCACTCCTGGGAGAAGGATACTGCAAAATCCCCATTCCCTCCCCACTCCTGGGAGAAGGACATTGCAAAATCTTCATTCCCACCCCACTCTGGGGCCAGCCAGAGGTGGTATTTGCCGGTTTTCCAAACTACTCAAAATTTTCGCTACTGGTTCTCCAGAACCTGTCAGAACCTGCTGAATTTCACCCCGGGTCACTATTGTCTGAAAGAGTTTTATGTAACACAACCTAAAATCTTGCTCTCTGTATGTATATTATGCATATTAGCTCCCAGGTTTAAATTCTGGGTCTCCCCCTGCATTTCCTTTAGCCAATAGCCACAGTAACATTTTTTGCCAACTGCCCATGTCTAAAAAAAATCCTGTTTTCCTTGATGTGAGGATTAGTGATTCCTGCCTCCCAGTTTCAACACTTACAATAACTGCCAGTAATTGCGAGAGGAATTTTGGGGTCCTAATGGACAATCATTTAAATATGAGTCAAGAGTGTGCAGCGGCAACAAAAAAATGCCAATGCACTCCTGGGCTGTATAAACAAATAGAATCAAGATCACATGAAGTTCTAATACTGTTTTACAAAGCCTTAGTAAGACCATATTTGGAATACCGCATCCAGTTTTTGGTCACCACAATACAAAAAAATATGTTGAGACTCTGAAAAGAAAAGTGCAGAGAAGAGCAACAAAAATGATTAGAGGGCTGGAGATTAAAACCTACAAAGAATGTTAAAGGAATTGGGTATGCCTAGTCTAATGAAAAGAAGGACTATGGGAGACATGACAGCACTGTTCCAATATTTCAGAGGCTCCTACAAAGATGAGGGGGTCAAGCTATTTTCCAAAGCACCAGTAGGCAAGGCAAGAAACAATGATTGGAAACTAACCAAGGAGAAAAACAACCTAGAACTAAGGAGAAATTTCCTAACGGCGAGAGCAATTAATCAATGGAATAACTTGCCTTCAGAGGCTGTGGGCGCTCCAGCACTGAAGACTTTCAAAAAGAGACTGGACAACAATTTGTCAGAAATGACATAGGGTTTCCTGCTCGAGCAGGGAGTTGGACTAAAAGACCTCCAAGGTCCCTTCCAGCTCTCTATTCTATGTTCTAATATTGCGGCTTGTTTATTGTTCTGAACCTACTTGTGTCTTAGTTTTAATGATGAGCCTGAAGAAGTTGAAAGTGTTAAACAGAGGAATAAGAACCAATATGATAATTAAATAGCATTCCTTTATTAAAACAAATATGAAGCTTTAGAAAGGTGTTCATTTTTTAATACAGCCACTATAACTATTGCAACTATTAAAATTTAGTTATTACTTAATGGGGATTAGCCATTACCCCTACTCCTTTTCGGAAAATATGACAAGCTTTGCATATAAATTTAATAAATAAATAAAATGTGATAAGACAGGCAGTTGAATCTTCCTAAGGCATTATCAGCAGAATAGCATTTATCAGAAGTAAAAACACATAGCTCTTTACCATACCATGTCACCCACTTTCCTGCACCCACAATATGTGTTACCTGAAGCAACCACCTCTCTCTACTTTATCACAGCAGGTTAATCTGCCACCCCTGAAATAATCAAAATGTCAATTGACAATGCAGAGTTAACCTGGCAGCTCCTAACTTATTCATATAAAAGCATGCAACTGAATTTTAGTTTTATAATAATCATTGCAGCAGCCTGAATGTATTGTTGAACTGAAATTTTGATAAGAAATAAAATATTTGACTACTCCAGCAACTTTGTACATTCAGAACTGGAAAATCAAGCAAAATAACTTGCTTGATTTTGATCCTATTACATATTTCCTTAGGTTCTTATAACTTTGTTGTTTATGTGGATTGCTTATTTAGTAACCTATGACTATCACAGAATGTTGTATCATATGATCTATGATGATTGTATTTTAGGATTTATGATCATGATTTATCACTTGTTCATTGTATGTACAATGAGAGTTTATGCACTGGAGACAAATTCCTTGTGTGTCCAATCACACTTGGCCAATAAATAATTCTATTCTTTTCTATTAAACTGGCTAATTATCAACAACCGACAGGCAGGATATATTCATTGGAGTTGTTTTGGCCTCCTCTTTGCTCTAAACAGGGTTATATTTAAACTAGGAAAATCAGAAAGCATTTCCAGATGGAACATTGTTTTGAATTGGTCCACAAACCAGTTTTCACTTTCCAGTCTGAACCGCATGGCCCAGATGATGGTGGTATTATCTGTACACAAATGATCAAAGGTTAGAAGCAGCTCCTCCAGGAAAGGGTGGTTATATACAACATCAGCAGCCAATATGTAGTCAAACTGAGATGAAGATCTGGGGAAATTCTTCTGCAGGTCCACCCCCCAGACCAAAGCTTTCACCTGAGGCTCATGCTTGCATTTCAGTTTTGTGTTTCTGAGAAGATTGTACTGAAGGTTTCCTAGCACTTCAGGCAAGTCCGTGGACATCACATGAGCACCTGTGACAAAAGGGACCACAGTGACATTACTTACGGAGGAGAGTTGATTAAAATAGTGCCAAATTCTTCTTATAATTCCGTGTGGCATAAGCAAAAGTGATGAACTGCGCCCCACTGCAGGAAATGCAATATTCCTTTGGGTTCTCCAATTCCCTACTTGATGAAATTCCAGGCCAATTTTGAATTATAGTTTTGTAATATTTATTCAGCTTACAACTGTAGGCAGAGCAAACTTGAGCAGAAAGGCTCTCTGATAATGTGACATTCCACAACTGTACATTAAGTTTGTAGGCTCAATGAATCAATATTGTCTTACATCAGTGGTTCCCAAACTTGGCAACTTTAAGACTTGTGGACTTCAACTCTGCTGGCTGGAGAATTCTGGGAAGTTTGGGAACCTGCCAAGTTTGGGAACCACTGATGTAAGACAATATTGATTCATTGAGCCTACAAACTTAATGTACAGTTGTGGAATGTCACATTATCAGAGAGCCTTTCTGCTCAAGTTTGCTCTGCCTACAGTTG